AATAAATTTATATTCGCGGAGACAGGACTTCTCAAAATAAAAGTAATGCGTTTAATTTTTTAAATACTGATTTATTTAAAATATTAATAATTCATTAAAATAATATGTAATAAAGAAAAGAATTCAATTAAACGTAACAAGATAAACCTGGAGATTAACTATTTGTACAATTTTCAATGATTTATATAAGATAGCTTTATATAGATTATTATTTCTTCAATTGTATTTCAATAACTTGAGATTTTAAACGCATGCAAATTCTGAATGTATTTTCTTAGTCGTATTTCAAAGAGATTGGTTAAATTTAATTAGATATGACTTGAGATGTTTCCTTGTGACCAGCTGTATTTGGAAGCTGTCCCTGTAGAGTTCACAGTGGTGGCTGATCCGGTTTCGTGGTTGTACCTTAGTATAATTTCGGTGATTATTCTGCTCGATGAGTACCTAGTGGACGAAACGGAGTTAGTGAATTTATATATGTCTTGTTATATTGAATATATGTATATATAAAGTGTCTCCGCGCCTGGACTTAAAACCGCCCATGCACTAAACAATTATATATATATTTTAAATAGATTATACACTAGGCTTAAAACCGCCACTGTGTCAGACAATTTTTTTATATTTATTTCTTTTTATATGTTGACATACAATGCCACCGAGTGATCATACAAGACACACTAAATTCTTAGAAAATTGCGCCGTCTTTTATACGCATCCTCTTGCACTTTTTGTGTAAAGTAACAAAGCTTTCAGTTGATCTTAGTTGAACTTAATGCACTTTAACACTTTTGCACAAAAGCTTCCTTGTGCATCTTTTTGCAGCGAATTGCATTCTGACGTTTTTGACGTTTGCAAATGTTTGTTTATATTTTACTTTTTACATGTGCGCGTTTTTTTTAAATTGGATTGAATATAATTTGTTAAAATAAGTAAAATTAATTAATAAGTAATATCGGCGTTTTAATAATTAATTTAATAAAATTATTTATATAAACTACGTTTCCTTTTTGTTTAAATTACTCAAAGTGACGTGTGTAAAGTGGTAGTGCAAAGGTATTTATAGTTGTTTTCCAATTTTCTAAATGATAATTATATTTAATAAATTCATTTATAGAAATATCCAACATTCAAGTCATAGTATGTAGATTGGAAATTTGTGCAAAATTTCCATCCTTACAATCCCCATAACTGGATTCCATACGTCCACACCGGAGCTAAGACTTGCTTGTATATCATTAATTTGTTGTTTAGAGAGACGGGTGATTTTTTCCCAAGAAGCCAATATAAATTTTTGTGTTTGGAAAAGATGAAAAATACCATAGTTACGAACTAGAAGTGTTAGCTATCGTTGAGCCTCCGGCTTCAATTGGTTCAAGTGTTGAGTACGCACCTTTATATTTCACTCTAAAGAATCGGCAAGATAAGTAGAACCACATAATTTCAGATATCTGTTTCGAAAACCACTGCTCAATCTTATGCACAAGTCCTTTGTGCCAAACTTTATCAAAGGCTTTCGATACGTCTAGGAATACTGCTTCATTAGCAGGTTTTCCTTGTTTGTGTACTATAAGTACTTCCGCTACTTTCTAATAAACTGGGAAGTGTCTTAAGCGCAGAGCTGCATTAATTATTTTGCATAGTTTGATTATTCCTTTTTTAGGGAATTGGTTTAAGATCTCAGCGGTTATCTGATCCCAACCAGGAGCCTTTTTTAGTTTCATATTTCTTATTTCATTTTTTATTTTCCTTGGCGAAGTTGGTTCTATTGCTTCGTTTAATGCATTTAAGTTAGACGTAGGAAGATTATTTCCATCAGCTATTTGTTAGAAAGTTGCCTTAAGAAATTTTGCGAATAAATTTGCTGTTTCTTCGTCACTTTTGGCCATGTTGTACCATCTGCCTTAATAGGAGGATTATATTTTATAGGTTGTTTTACTGCTTTCACGGCTTTCCACTGCGAGTAATCTGTGCGTTTCTCATAGGAAAGGCTTCTAAGATTCTGTTGTATCTTATCGTTTTTAACATTATTGATAAGTTTTCGTAGTTGTGCAGTTTTCCTATTTAATTTCGTTTTATCAGTTGGTGATCGTTTTTGTTGCCATTTTTTGCGAATTAGTTTATTAATTTCGTTTGGAAAGGTTAGTCTAATCTGGTCTTTACAGAACTGAGGAGTAGTCATCCATGCTGATTTCTGAATCTGCTGTGTAAATAGAAGAACTTCTTAAGATGCCTTTTTGAGTACTAAGTTTTCGTTTAATATTGACATAGCGTTCCATGCCTGTTTGGATTTTAGTTTTATATTTTGGACTCGCTAAGTCCTGAAATGCAACCGATGCTACTGAAGATACAATATTTTGTAAGCTTTTAAAAGTTTGTGTAGTTTTCTGCGGCAACTTGTTTGATGCGTCTATTACTAGATAAGCATTACGTTTGTTTGGGATGCTTTCCATACGTAGTTATGTATGCAAATATCAGGTTTGCTATAAGATTTACTTATTTTTCTAAATGTACCCAATTATGGTAGTTGTGATGACCGAATTGTGTTGTGCAATGTGGTGTTGAGTTCTGTTGTGTTATGACGTATTGTGTTGTGTTGTGTTGTGTTGTATTGTAGGCTTAGCTTTGTGTTAGTAAGCTTTAATAGAACTCGTTTTTATCAGAATATTAGGTGTCTCTGTTAGCCCTTTTTTTTTGTTTTATTTATTTATACACAAAGGCGCACTGATATATTTTGTTTCTCAAACATCTTTGATATATGTAATAAGAATATTGCTAATTTCGTTACAATAAAATCCTATTTCAGTAATAATGCATCCTTATATCCTTATTGATAGACACAGGGCCTGATAATTGAACATTATAAAAAAAAATATTATAGAAAAAACTACGTTAGATTAAACAAAAAATTACCAAATGATAACGGAACCACTAAAGCAAAAATATTTTTAGAGGTATCAGTAATAGCAAAATTATATTTTGATGGTGTCAGTATACCACATGAATTAAATGTCATATAAAATGAGATAAATTTGCCAACAGACTGCTTATTAAGTAGAGATTTTGTGTTGTAGAGATAACAACACAACTGCAAGATAGATCACGAAACATGTGCATTAGTAATACCACAAGAAGATGAGGGCATAGTATTACCCATAAACATCAATATATAAGCTTTAGATAATATCATTATACCACCAAGAACAGAAATAGTACAAGCAATAACATTAGACACAAAAGAGGAAAGCATAATATGTGGCAAAAAAATAATGAAAGGAGTTTTAATAACTAACTCTTTGATATCTAAAGAAGATATAAAGCACATAAGATTACTAAATACAAAAGAAACTACAGTAGTAATTAAAAATACTGAAATAGATATGAAACGACCAAACGATTATATTTTATATCATCACAACAAAAAGAGAGATTATTCAAAATTTGAACAAATTAAGAAATTATTAAAAATAGATGGTTTAGATAAAACTGCTAAAAATTTGATTCTAAACATTTGTGAAAATATCCAAAAAATTTCATTTTTTTTTAAAAACTAACCATTAACAATTTTTATAAACAATATATCTCGACCGTTGAGAGAATACCAATATTTATAAAAAACTATAGAACACCACAGATACAAATGTTGTTTTGTTTTTTATTAACAATTCTTCAAATAAGACAAAAATCGTTTTAATATTGCACCTAGTACAAATAACAAAAAAAAAAAGGTACTAATAAGCAATTTGATTTGAATATTTAAGGGTAAAAAAAATTAAGCTATTTTGCTACTCGCTGTCCATTAAGTCTGCCACTGTTTTCCTTTTTAGCCGTCTAGGTATTGCAACCACCTGGAGAAGACTAGATGCTGTAACGTTGACATGTGTTTTTGTTGTGTATGAATTTTATACACTAGCAACATTATTTATGAAGTTTGACAGTTGTCATTTTAACTGAGTAGTGTTTGTTAATAGTTTATTATTATGAAGTAGAAATGTAAAAATTTTATTCTTATCTGTAACTTGAATGAATAAAGTTGAAATACAAAAGTGGTGTCAGAAGTGGGATTCAAAAAAATGAGTCTCACAGCAAGCGAAATGAAGACCATGATGGAATCACTCGCAGGTGCGATTCGAATGGCGGTGACGGAAGCGGTTGCTGTTAACAATTTAACAAATTCAAACGCAAGTTCGATGACATCTAAACCACCACCATTTAAGATTGCAGAATTTAAATTAGGAGAAGGATCCTCAGTGCAGGATTATTTCACGCGTATGGACTGGGCGTTAAATTTGAGCAAGATACCGGAAGCCGAACAAGGAGAGTATGTACGTGTATACATGGGAGCAGAACTCAACGATGCTCTTAAAATTCTCGCTAGTCCAACTGATATGTTTACATACAACGAAATTAAAAATATGTTAATTCACCATTTTGATGGTACACGGAATAAACAAGAGAAGGGAGAATCAATTTCTAAGTTTGTGCTTCGCTTAAAAGAAGGTGCTAGATTCTGTGAGTATGAAGATTTCTTGGATAGAATGTTGGTGGAGCAATTGCTATATGGGGTTGAATCTCGCAATATTTGTGATGAAATAGTAATTAGGAAACCAAAAAATTTTACTGAAGCGTATGAAATTGCGCATACAATCGAGCGAGCGCAAAAAACAACAACAGACGTTAAGGGTACAGAGTTAGGGCAACCAAGTGAACCAACATATAAGCTAGGTTGCGCCCCAATAAAAACAAAACGTAATTTTAGTGAAAATCATGAAAAAGCGATGCGGATGACAAAAGAGAAAACAGTGAATTGTTATGGATGTGGTGGTCAGCATTTCAGAAAAGAGTGCAAGTTCAATAAGTCTAAATGCTTTGCGTGTGGGAAAGTCGGTCATATTGCTAAAGTATGAAGAACGAAATTAGATCAAATAGCAGAGGATGATCCCGAACCAGTTCAACAAATACTTGGTATTAATGCACTCAAGGCGGCGGTAGGAAGAATGATGGTTCATGTTAAAATTGATGGAAAGGAAATTCAAATGGAATTAGACACCGGCGCTCCATGCGCGGTAATTAGTTACAGAACTCTTCGATCGATAAGACCGAATTGTAAGTTGCTTAAAAGTGATAGGCGATTCACAAGCTACACGGGTCATAAGGTTAATTGCGTAGGACGGATTGTAGTATCCGCGTCAGTGGGTAAAATAGTACGACGGTTAAGTCTGTATGTCGTGGAAGGAGATTGTGATACACTTTGCGGTAGGGAATGGATATCACAATTTGCGAGAGAGAATAACTTTTCTGAATTTTTTTCTTCGTCCAACCATATTAATTCAATAAACTCCTCAGAGCGAGAACTGTCTACAAACCAGCGAGAGCGGCTCCAACAACTGATCGAGAGGTTTAAGAACGTATTTAGTGAAACGGCTGGGAAGCTTAGTGGTCCACCTGCTAAAGTGCATCTTAAAAAGGGAGCTACTCCAGTGTTCGCACGACCACGCGAAGTTCCAATGGCATTAAAAGATGCTTACGGCAAAGAAATTGATCGAAAGATTCAATTGGGGCATTACAAGAGAGTAGATCATTCGGAATGGGCTTCGATTACGCATATTGTTGCAAAGAAAAACGGTGGTATTCGCATTACAGGCAATTACAAACCTACAGTTAACCCGCAAATGATAATTGATGAACATCCAATTCCGAAAGCGGAAGATTTATTTAATAAAATGAAAAATGCAACAATTTTTTGCCATCTTGATGTAACAGATGCATACACCCATCTTACAATTGACGAAGAATTTGCACATGTATTAACTTTAAACACAATCACGCATGGGTTAGTACGTCCAACACGTGCAGTTTATGGAGCAGCAAATATACCAGCGATATGGCAGAGGAGAATGGAGACAGTACTACATGGTATGGCGAATGTGTTAAATTTTTTCGACGATATCTTAGTATATGCTAAAAATTTTGATGAATTGTTACAAGTGTTAGAAACCATTCTAGGCCGTATTCAGTTAAGTGGGCTGCGTCTGAATAAGTCGAAATGTGTATTCGCCACAACATCTGTGGAGTTTCTTGGTCATCGAATTGATGCACATGGCGTGTATAAATCCCAGAAACATGTCGAAGCAATATTAAATGCGCCCAAACCATCAATGGTTGAAGAGCTTCAACTTTTCTTAGGGAAAGCAACATACTATGGCGCGTTTATTCCAGATTTGGCTACAAAGGCGCGACCATTACGAGACATGTTGAAAACAAAAGAATTTTGCTGGACGGGAGAGGCAGATGCAGCATTTACTCAGTTAAAACAAATATTGACTTCACCTCAAGTATTAATTCCGTACGATCCGTCACTACCGGTAATGTTAGCAACAGACGCAAGCCGAACGGGTCTAGGTGCTGTATTGTCACATCATTTAGAAAATGGAGTGGATCGGCCAATAGTTTATGCAAGTCGAACGATGACTGCTACGGAACAACGATATACACAAATTGATAAAGAGGCACTAGCTATTGTGTGGGCAGTGCAAAAATTTTTCAAATACTTATATGCTCGTCATTGGATATTGATCACGGATCATAAACCGTTATCACAGATTCTTCAACCTAATAAATCGCTTCCAGTACTATGTATAAGTAGAATGGCTAACTATGCAGAGTTTTTAAGCAGATTCGATTTCGAAGTTATATACAAAAATTCAAAAGCAAACGCAAATGCCGATTATTTGTCACGTGCTTCCCTTCAACAAATAAATCAATTGCAACAAATAGTAGCGACTCATTCAGATGAATGTGATGAGTTCGATAATTTCATGATTTGCCAGATAAATCAGTTGCCTGTTAAAGCAGAACGTATTGCAATAGAAACCAGAAAGGACGAGCATCTCGGCAAGATAATCAGAATACTGGAAAGTGGCCGCTGTTTAAAAAGAGAAGGTTACAAATCGTCAGAAGCGAGTTACGTATTGTCATCAGGGTGCTTGACGTTCGAACATCGGGTCGTTATCCCTCCACATTATCGACAAAGATTACTAGAGAATCTACACACATCGCACTTAGGAATGGTAAAAATGAAGGGCATTGCACGTTCTTTTATATATTGGCCAGGAATAGACAAAGATATTGAGAATATGGCCAACGAGTGTGATGGGTGCGCGAGACAAGCGAATAAGCCGGTGAAATGCGATATTCATCATTGGGAATACCCAAAAGGACCATGGGAACGTATTCATATTGATTATGCAGGGCCATTTGAAGGGGCAATGTTACTAGTAATTGTTGATGCTTACAGTAAGTGGTTACGTTTAGGTGATCTTCACTACGAAATACTTTTTAATGGAAAGGAAGTAAAGAGACATGTAAATCAAATTTGAAGAGCTGCAAGTGCACCCATTAGAAATACAGCGAAAGAATATCGTGAATCAAAATATTCGTTCGAGAGTAGCGGTGACAACACAAAGGACTCGCTTGAAGCAGAGAACAATGAATCAACCACTGAAGGGAGTCCGGGATTGGAGAATGAGTTTGAGAGGCCAGAAAACAATGAAGCAACCACTGAAGGGAGTCCGGGATTGGAGAATGAGTTTGAGAGGTGGACAACGCCCAACACATCAAGAAATGAGGAGTTTTATTCAACACCACACCCAATAGCTGAGAGTACGCCTGAGACGACCAACGTAACTCCCGATGTACGACGGTCAACAAGACTAAGGAAAACTAGAGTGTGTTACACACCATGATCCGGTGGAGGAGAGAAAAATGTTGTGTATGAATTTTATACACTAGCAACATTATTTATGAAGTTTGACAGTTGTCATTTTAACTGAGTAGTGTTTGTTAATAGTTTATTATTATGAAGTAGAAATGTAAAAATTTTATTCTTATCTGTAACTTGAATGAATAAAGTTGAAATACAAATGTTTTTAATCGCAGTTTGTGAGCAATGGCACACCTTTTTGCCACGACGTCGACTGTTGGTATGCAAGGTCACGATGGAGATCACTGTTTCTAATGTAATATGGAGCATTTACGATGTATCGTAGTACTTTATTTTGAAAGCGCTAGATAGTTGCAATGTATTTCTTGCTGGCACAACCCCAGAATTGTATGCCATAACTCCAAGCCGGCTTCAGTATATGTTTATAGACCATTAGTTTGTTGTGGATTGCTAGTTTAGAGCGCCTGCCAATGAGGTGATAAAATTTGTTTAGTTTTAGGTCAAGCTCTTCTCGTTTTTTCTTAACATGCGCTTTCCAGCGCAGCTTAGCGTCGAGCGTAATGCCCAGATATTTGGCTTCGTTGGCGTGTGGAATTTTTGTGGCATCGATATGAATTGGAATATGGTTATAATTTCTCAATGAGAACACTATATGTACAGATTTTTCTTTATTTAGCTTGATTCTCCATTTTTTTGCCCATGAAGCAATTTGATTGACTGTGTGTTGCAGATTAGCCGTCGCGTCTTTTATACTGTTTTCGATTGCTAGAACCGCAGTATCGTCTGCAAATGTTGCTGTAACTAGTTGGTTTGCAGAGGGTAAGTCGTGTGTATACAGGAGATATAGAATGGGCCCAAGAATGCTCCCCTGCGGGACGCCTGCGGTAATCTTCCTTAGTGCTGAATGTGCATCTTCATATTTAACACTGAAGTACCTGTCGTTTAGATACGATGATAGCAGCTTACGGTATTGTATATTATTGGTAATAAACGCGCTAGTAGTAGTTTTTCAAAAAGCTTCGATAAGGTTGGCAATAGAGATATTGGCCTATATGAGGATACGTCATTGGGAGATTTCTCCGGTTTGGGTACATGTTTCAAACGGAGGCACAAATTGATTAAATCGCATAGGTAGATGATGCAGTTATTGGGTAAGTTCCGAAGAACTTCAGCCGTTATTAAGTCAAAACCAGGAGAATTTTTGAGTTTCATTTTTAAGATTTGTTTACTCACTTCTTCCGTAGTGACTGGAACAATTGCAGTGTCGCCTTCAGGCCAATTTGTACATGACCCAATAACGTCTTGGCCTTCATTTGGACTGAAGGTTTTCTCTAGGTGTTCAGCAAACAGGTTCGCCTTTTGAGTATTTGTTTTAGCCCACTGAGTTTCATTTAATTTCACTGGGGCAGACTGCTGCATTGGTCTGTTAAATGATTTAGCAGCTTTCCACAGAGAGTATTCATTATTTTTGTCTGCCGTGAGGCCCATCAGGAAACTATTAAAGGTATTATTTTTGTATGATTTGATGGCTGTGTGCAACTTTTTAGTTGCTCGGTTTAGTTGCGATTTAATTAACGGACATCTAGTTGCTTGCCAACGTTTTCGCAATTTTCGCTTCTCCGTAATCTTTTTTGTGATAAAGGGTGGGTATTTTTTACCATGTAGAGTTTGGAGTTTTGGTGTTGGTGTACCGTTTCACGCTGCCATCTGCAATTGCTGAGTGAAATGAAGTACTGCGTCATCTAGTTGCTCGCTGTTAACAATATAATCAAATTTGTGCAAATGTACAAGCTGAAGCTGAAAATATTTCCAGTCGGTGAATGTATTTGCTAACTTGGGTGTGTTCTGGTTTATTGTTGGATTTTGTGAAACTATCAGCAGCACTGGTGAGTGGTCAGAGCTAAAGTCGAAGCCTTCTGAGATGGTTAGGTGAGATGCTGGAATGTTTTTGTAGACAAAGAAGTCTATTAGGTCTGGAACTTTGCTAGTGTCCAACGGCCAGTACGTTGGTTTACCAGTTGAAATTGAATTGCAAGCTGTGTGTTGCATGGCTTTGTACATTTCTCTTCCTTTCGTTGTAGTAAGTCTTGAACCCAAAACGTGTTTTTTGCGTCTCCTCCAATTATAAAACGGCCTTAGAACCGGTTAAAAAGAGATAAGTAGTCTGCGCACTTCAACTGATGCCTGGGAGGACTATATAATGCAGTTACGATCAGCGGCTGATTAAAGGTTTTCACTGAAACAGAAGTAGCTTGAAATTCAATTGTACTATATTGTTTTAGTAAGTGATGTTTTATCGAGTTTCTAATTATGACAGCGCTGCCACCCCTAGCGCAATTATCGGGATGTATGGTATGGTATAGAATATAGTTTTTAAATGTTCTATGCGATTGCTTAGTAAAATGAGTTTCAGCGATTAAACCGATATCAATGTTTTCGCTATTTAATACGACTTCGAGTTCATTTTTATGTTTTGTTAAGCCATTCGCATTCCATAAGAATAGTTTCAAACGATTAGTCATAATCTAAAAATTGCATATTGTGCTCAAGCACGCTCAGACGTTGTTCGAGGGTTTTAAATACCTCTTCGTGTGGATTAAGTTTTGTTAAGATAATTGACAACGCGTTGTTGCTTTGTGATTCAGTACTTTGAATGGGTCCCTTTACACTTTGGGCGTAAGTGACTGTTCTAACACTAGTAGGTTCAGTAATTTTGGATTTACTTTTTGTTACAGCAACTTGATTATTTTCGTCAGCCTTAGTTTTGTCAGCTTTGTTTTTTAATTTTATTTTTTGTAATTCTTTAGCGACTATACAACCACGATAGTTCGCTGGATGCGGTTCGCCACAGTTGCAGCATTTAGGCTTATCGGACAGTGTCTTTTGGCATTCCGAAGTTAAATGTTTGCCGGCGCATTTAACACATCGTGGAGGCTTTCCACAGAAATCTTTTTTGTGACCGAACGATTGACATTTTTTGCATTGAGGAATTAAGTTTGACGGTTTGATGGGTTCAATCTTTACAATTGTGTTAAGAATACTTTTTATCTCATAGATTTTCTTCACATCTTCGATTGAGTCAAATGAGAAAAGGATCATATCAAGTGGTTCTTTAGTCTTTCATTTGAGTTTGTTTATCGCACTGATTGTTTTTAAACCTTGATTGCTTGAGTCGTTTATAATTTATTCTTGATCACACGAGTGGTGAAGATTTTTTACTATAACTTTTATTGGCCTAATTTGCTTGTCTTCGTAGCTGAACTAGAAAATGTTTTCGTGAGTTAAGAGTTTTATGACAGATGTATAGTCAAAAGAGTCAAAAATTGATACTCTATGTGAACCCTTATTTATAAGTCTCACAAATAACTTGTTTTTTATAGTTGCGATAAGTTGAGCATGCCATTTTTTAAATCATTTAAGCCGTTGATAACAATAAGAGGTGGTCGAGCTATTTTATTAAGATTTGGATTATTAAGATAAAAATTTATCAATATTTTAAGCGTCCTTTCGCGTATTTATTTATTTTATTTATTTAGCAGTTGTTAATTATTTAGCTATTATATATTACTTCACTGTGTTTTTGGTAATCGGTAATAGAATATTATGTCGCATACACGAACATAATATATACCTTACTTTATTAATAGCATAAAGTCTTCGGAATCTCACAAAATGCACAAAAGTACAACATATGCTCTCCGGACAGTAGTCATACTGTATATATACTTAACCCTATCATCTCATTTATCTATTGATGGAACATTACCCCACACAATTGAATTCCAAACTAATGTAAATTAAAATTGAATTAAAGATAAAGAGACATACTAGAGTTATGCCCAGATATAACTATCCATATATTTCATCTTAATTGGATATAAACTATATAAACCTATCCTAAATCAACATTTCACAGTGAATGAATTACTATTTAAATAGATCATTTCTTTCTAAAAATTACCTTCAATACCTTATATTAAATTGAAATCTTTCGAAATTATATAGAATACAAACATTAGAAACAATTAGAATAAATAAATGAATATGTATTGCAAAATTCATATCAATTCATACATCACATCAAAATTACCTCATGTTTTTCTTATATCTGGTAAAGTGGCATATTTATTATTAAATTGTCATTTGCCATTATATTGTTCTATGTGTATATGTATATGTATGTATATATATATATATATGTATTATGTAATGTATTTTTTTTTTTTTTTTTTAAGCTATACGAGCTAAGGGATGTGGAATCTTCAAAAGATACTGGTAGCCCGTACTACCAGCATGCACGATTCGCAATCAAGACTTACTCTTTTGCTTGATATTTGCGCCTACGTACTAAACCTCATCCTAACACCGTGTCTCTTCTAACCATAAATCCCTCCGGAACCACCTTTAAGCATTACTTCGGAGGGTGGTGATTCAGCGATTGCTGTCATCTCTTACTGCTCTTCTAATTCTCTCTGCTGCTCTCTGTTCTTCTGTGATTTCTTTCGCAAAAATACACACCAGGTTCCAGATTTCTGTTGACTTTAACATCAGTTGGATGATGTTATCAGGTGTGACATGCTCTCTGGTTACTCTTGCCAAGGAGCTGCGGTGGCTCTCATATCTCGGGCAATCAAAGAACACATGTTCCACCGTTTCTTTTGTATATGGACATGCTGGGCACGTGTCGTCTTCGTCATGTTTGAACTTATAAAGATATGCTCTGAAGCAGCCGTGTCCAGTTAACATCTGGGTTAGGTAGTAGTTCACCTGCCCATGCTTTCTGTTGGTCCAATCACTTATCTTCGGAATGAGCCTATGCGTCCATCTTCCTTTTGTGGATATATCCCAACTCTGTTGTCACTTATTCAATGCTTTTTCTTAAGCTGATTGAAGTTTGTAACCCCAAATCTTTTTGCTACATGCTTTTCCTTTTCAATTTCTGCTTCCTGCTGTAGTGGCATCATTCCGGCAATAACCATGGCCGCGTCAGTAGATACTGTACGGAATGCGGAAACAACTCTG